GCAGTCAACTGGATTGCCTCTTTCCATAACATCCCATGAGGAAAGGACTGTGCAATGGGAGCCCCGGTAGATTAGGATCCCCAGAAGATGTGGTCGACCACCAGAGTGGTGTTGATTTTTGTAACTGAATTAAATACTTTGAAAAAACCAAACTCTCCAGTGTACGACAGTCCCCACAACTCTCTATTATCCTAAGCAACTGCATTATCTGTCTCCTGGAAACATCTGAACAGATCAGAGAATAGGGTTTATAACTGAGGTAAGCAACTTCTGGATTCATAAGAAATTCCATGCCTGAGTGACATGACCAGGTTGGGGGCTTTTTGAACTATCTGAGTATCCCCATACCTGGTCATTTGGGTTAGGAAATTGTTTTCCACCGGCCAGAAGACCTGTCAATCTGGGACTTAGTTCCCTGATGGGGCAGTGCATAAGAATCCGCCTGCCAATGAAGGGGACACCCGTGTGATCCCCGGCCCGGGAGGACCTCACATGCTGCAAAGCAACTAAGCCCAATGTGCCACAACTACTGAGCCTGCAATCCAGAGCCCAGGAGCCACAAGCCCTGAGGCCGCGGGCTGCAGCTACTGAAGTCCGCGCACCGAGGGCCTGAGCTTCACGACGAGAGAAGCCACGGCAACCAGAAGCCGGGCACCTCAAGGACGCGTGGCCCCACGCTCACCGCAACTAGAGGAAGTCCCGGCAAAGTAACGGACACCCGGCACAGCCAAAACTGAAATGACTTAATTCGAAACAGTAAAGCTGTCAGTCTACCCCTGGACACACAATACAGGGTGGACACCTATAGGCAACTCTGGACATTCCAGCAAACATTAAAATTTCTAATTTATTAATAATTTGTAAAATAAATATTAGATTTCTTATCATGCACACCCTTGATTGGAAAACTCCTCATTCAATACATATTTCTTTACTCTCATATCCTTCCTAAAGGAAAGATATTAATGTTATACCCTTGGGTGAAAAACAGTGAGGTCTCGAGAGGATAATAACAGTCTTTAGAGGTGTACATCTTATATGCAGACACATAAAAACTCTGAGAGAATAAATTCTAATGTTAATAGAAGATGGAGAAATCATGTGTTTTTTAATTTAATTTAATTTTGGACATATTTTTTTCTTTTTTAACAATCAACATTTAAAACCTCAGGTATATCGTCACAATACCTTCCCTGCTAAAAGCTCAGTCAGGGAATCCTACGGGGGTCCATGAGCAGGCTCTCTCAGGGCTCCCCTCCTCTCTATCTTTAACCTCTGGCCCCAAGTGCTCAGCCTGCTTCCCCAGCCTCTGAGCAGCTGGCACCACTCACTGGCCCCTTCTGCAGCTGCTACCACTGACTGGACAGCTGGCTGCAAGCGAGGTGAAGGTCAAGAGCCCCACATCTCTGTGGTCTTAAGTTTACTACCAACCAATAAGGGAGAAAGAAGACAGTAAACAAACAGCATGACAAAGTGCAGGGAAGGAATGAATTTGCATCAGCTTACAAACTGTACACAGTGGAGGCTCCCGGTTTATAGTTTTTAGCACACCCATGAAATTGCCAGGCAGCATTCAGGAGGAGCCTACAGCAGGCCCAGGACTACTGACGGCTGGAGTTCTTCCCAGGAGGCCAGGAATCAGAAGCATTGTAAGGATCAGTGCTACAATGCATTAACCTTGCCCAATATATATATACCGCAAGTTTTCAAGCATACGTAGATTGCATTAATCATCAATTCTTAACATTTAACACCTCATTTCTCATTATTTCTCAATCAAATGATGCTAAAACTACAACTCTCAGGTAAACAAACGTCTGCATCATTTTTTTGATGTGCAAGAGTCTCAAGATTGCTCAGAGAGGCTGGGAACACTAGTGTACAGAAAGGAGGACAGGTCTCAGAACTGTGACAGAACAGGCTTTACATGGCAGCTCCATCATTAACTGAGCAAATCTGAGCTGGTTCTCTAAACTCTCTGAGCCTCAAGTTTCTAAATACAAAGCTGAGGATATTAATAATTCCATGAACTTTCCCATGAGGGAAAACCGAGTGAACCCAGTCCTCTAGCTGACCATCTGCTCCCCTTCAAACCTCACCTGAAGTCCACACAGATAGAAGGGCAAATGTAAAAGGCACTCTGCCCCTCTCACAACCTCCAAATGAAAGGCCAACCTACTAGGCCGATGGCCAGCCCTGACACTGGCTTCTTGGCATGTCCTCTTATCCACAGAAACACACACACAAAATTTTCAGTATTTTTTTTTTTTATGAAGAATAACATATAAGATCAACTTCTGCCTCAGAACAAAGTGTAACTATTCTTGGAAAGTGTCAGAGAGGAAACAGCAGATTAAGTTTTATCTATAACTTGAACTGAAAATTATTCTTGAACTCATGTCTCGAACATAAATGTTTTCAATGGTTTAGATGAAAATGATGGCACAATATAATTCAAGATAAACATGGACTATCTCTCCAGAAGATCTCCACCTTCCTTTAATCAAGAAAATAAGTCTAGTTTACACGAAATGACTGAGGACCGAGGAACTGATGCTTTCGAATTGTGGTGCTGGAGAAGACTCTTGAGAGTCTCTTGGACAGCAAGGAAATCAAACTAGTCAATCTGAAGGGAATCAACCCTGAATACTCATTGGAAGGACTGATGCTGAAGTTGAAGCTCTAAGACTCTGGCCACCTGATGTGAAGAGTCGACTCACTGGAAAAGACCCTGATGCTGGGAAATACTGAAGGCAGGAGGAGATGGGGGTGACAGATACTGGGAAAGATTGAGGGCAGGAGAAGAGGGTGACAGAGGATGAGATGGCTGGATGGCATCACCAACTCAATGGACATGAGTTTGATAGTGAAGGACAGGGGACCCTGGCATGCTGCAGGCCACGGGGTCGCAAAGAATTAAACAGGACTTAGGGACTGAACAACAACAATCTGAAATGACACTATCAACTGAATATAATAAGTTGATAAGCATTTTAAATCAAAACAAAGGATTCTTTCATTTTTAAATGCCCAATTTACATACAGCAATGAGAAATACATAACAAGTATCAAACTCTAATACAGACAATGTAGTTCATGAAAACAATTTTTTTCTTTCAGAAAATTTATTTTCTGCCATTAGCTACAAACTCATAAAGAGGTAATATTAAATGTATTATCATTACAGTACTAAAACAATCTTTTATACATTTGTTTATAGAGCAAGCTTTTAGAAAGACAAAGCAATCACATCAACAATTCACAACAATCTTTAAAAAGCAAGCTGGTCCACATTACATATGCAAGTGAACCATTATTTAAATCAGGAAGCAAGGAAAAAACTATCCTTTAGGAGGATAAGACAGAGAAGGAAACATCTCTTACTTTAAGAGCAGTCATGGTGTTTTGTTCCTACACTGAAAACTGATGTTATCTCAATTAGTTAATTATCCATCCCAATCTCCAGGCCTTGCTCCTGGAGGCAGTTATAACTTCTCCACCTCTTGCTGTGTTAACACTAGTTCAGTAATTTCCTGATAAAGAATCTTAGCACAAACAGATCTTAGTGATTAACTGTAAGGTTCATTCCCTTCTTGTACAGATAAGTAAACTGAGGCCAAAACAAGTATCTTACTGTTAATAATAAAGCTAATTAGCTGAAAAGCCTACCCAGGGCTTTTCCAGTCCACACCTCTCATAAGAACAATTGTGAAAGGGACAATTCAAGCAGGTATCAACCCAGAAGCATGGGGAATGTTTTCAGCCGGCCACATAGCATATTTTTAACTATTAAAACAATTCAAGAGGTTATTAGTCATACACCAGCATCCTTTGGGTAGGAAGTGTAGGAACAGTGTTAATTTACCTGAATCTCTTCTAATGTATTCTTTTTATTCAAAAATGACAGTACTATAGAAAATTTAGAAATACTGTAATTTCAATAAAGGCCTTACTACATATGTTATATTTTCAACTAGTAAATCAAATCAATATACCAATCTTGACACTTAGGTACACTGTGACTATGGGAAATGTGATAACTATTTCAATGCAAGCTTTTTTGAAATGCACACTGCAACACATATCCTAAGCATTTTTAAGATTCACATTAATTCCAAGCTTTTAAAAAATGTATTTACAGAAGAAAGCTTCTTTTGCAATGTATATGTTCCTAAATGTTTCCATTAGCTAAAAGATATTTTGGAATATGATCAAACCATATTGAATGTCAGGTTCTAACAGCAAAGCTAAATCTCTGACAGTTCTCAGATGTGGCCACTGCTTTTAAACCACTGTGTCCCCAAAAGTCTAACAGGGTGAAAATTCTACCTTAACAAGTGAAGACAGCAAGGCCTATTTTAATGGTTTAATTTCATCTCCAAGTGGTAAACGCAAAATTGGGATTTGGGCTTACTTCACACCGCCAACAACTTAGTATTAACGGATGTATCTCTCATTCTTCCTCCTCAAGCAAGAAGTTTACACATTCCAGCTACATATAACTTTCAAATTCTTTCTAACTATGAAAACCAAAATAGGACTCCTTTAAATAAAAAAAAAAAAAGATGGAGAATTGGCAGACTACATGTTTATGTCAACCTACAAAAAACATAGAAACGTGCAGCCCTAGCTCACCAGAAAAATCACATGTGACCAAACTATTCTGTGACATCTTATGTCTTTTATGCCCAATATTCTGGTTTTGCATTCACCTGTGTCAATCCCTAAAGGCTCAAGAGCTAGGTACTTCTGTAGAACATCTTCAGCACGAGGAGTGTGAGAGCTCTGTTGTTGGGCCGTGGCGTGATCTTAGAAACACTTGAGTCAAACCTATTTATTTCCCCTCTGCTATTTAAAATCGAGAGACCTCAGGCTTGGGACGTGGCTAAACGACAACAAGAGAAGAAGAAGAAAAAAACACCCGAACACGGAACACGCTAAGAACAAAGGAAACACCAGCCTGTGAACAGGAAATGAAGCAACTCTATACACATAAATACCTTTTGGGGCCGCCAACGTAGGTGAAAGTAAAGGTGGAGTCTGAGTATCTGAAATCTGAAACGAAAAGTCTTGTTAAAAGCTACCCCCCGGAGTGGATTTTTAACCCTGGTCCTGACTCGGATCCCTTATTTCTTTGATGGAGCCAAGGGGAGGCCTGGCTGGGCGGGAGGCGAGAGCTGGAGAACCCCGAGTTCCCCTCTCCGAGCGGTGCCGGAGGGGATGCTGCGCACCCCGAGTCGGGTGCCGCGCGTGGCCGCCCCCCGCAACAAGTGCCGGGTGCCATGGCAACGGCGGGAATTTCCCGGTCCGGGCGGCCGGAAGCGGCCCCCGCCGAGCTCGCGGCTGGGGGAGCAAAATCCTGTCCCCCTCCAGGGGGAGCAAAATGGACGAAAGACGACCCCCAAGCAGAGGCTCGGGGCGCCTTCGGGACCTAGGGCATCTCTTCTCTTTCCGGGGCATGACACTGCCAGTCGGAGGTACTAGAGCGAGCCGAAGCGGCCGGAGATCGGCCCAGCGCTGCCCACCGGGGGGCCTCGGCGCCGGGCGCAGCCAGCCAGCGCCGCGCAGCGCAGCGGGCTCCATTCCCGGCCGCCGCCGCTCAGCCCATTGCGCAAACCCGGCGGGTCCTACCAACCGCCTGGGTCGCTGCTGCTGAAACCTCGGAGGCGGGATCGGACGCTCCGGGCGTCCACAGGGGACTAAAAATACCATGCTCGGCTCCTTGCCTAGACCCCTGCTGGGACTACCAGGGTTCTGTCCCCAAAGCGGTTGACCGCCCCAGACGGGGGGAGGGGAGAAGGGGAGAGGCTGTTGCCCCCTCCCCCTTTTGGCTCCCGCTCCTGCTGCAGCAGCTGTTGCCAAATGAACCCCAGAATGGGGACGTGCAACCCACCCCCCCATCCCCAGCCACACACCTCGCGGCCAGAAAACTGGGCAAGGGGGTGACGGGCGGGCAGACGAAGCTGGCGCTGGGTCCGAGGCTCTGAAAAGGCGAGAACTCACCTGCAAACAGGCAGTCCTTCTCGGCTCTGGACTTCTGGATCACGACGTCGATATCCTTCTGAATTCGCTCTTGCCTTGAACACATCCCCATTAAATAAATCCCTGGAAAAGAAGCAGCCGCTATTTTCCACCCCACCCCACCCCCTCGCACGCTTCCAGCTTTCGTAAATATTCAGTTAAAAATGAAACCTCTGGCCGAGGCAGGGGCTGAAGGCGAAGTGGTTTCGGAAGTGATCCCGGGTGAGAGAGGAGGCGGTGGTGGCGGAGGAGGAGGGGGGGGAGGTCGGCTTTGCATTCCCAGATGTGACCGCCCAGCTGCTGCTCGCCGCTGCTGGATTCCAATTTCTTCCCCTCCTGACAATGGATGGTGATGACACCGACTCTCACTTTCTCCCTCCCCCCGCCAGGACCAACGGCCGTGGGGGGGCCGAGGGTGCTGGAGACGGCCGGAGAGCGATCACCGGCCGGAGCTGGATTCCCCAGGCCGGCCGCCGCTCGCGCCGGGGGCTGAGTGGGAATGTCGGTAGTGAAGACTCCCTGGGGCTCCCTGCCCGCCCCCCCGCGCTCCCCCCTCCCTTCGCGCTTCCACCACTTTTATGAATTCGACTCCACTTTCGGAAGGAATTATGAGTCATATGGAAAACCCAAACCCAAGTGGCTGGAAGCGGGGAAGAGGGGCAAAGCGAAATCGTTCAAAATGGGAAATAAATAAATAAAACGAACAACTCCTTCCTTGTTGTCACATCAGGCAAGATGGAAAAAGCCTTGAAATGACTCCAGACGTACACCCTCCCTTGCCTACACTGCCAGACTCTTTTTTCTCCCGGATAGAAGTAGTTCAGCCCTTCTGGGGCGCCTTTTAGGAAACATAGCCCCTTTTAAGAGACTTCTTCCACTTGCAGAGACTCACCCGTTCTGCTCTGCTCCGTCTTTCCGTCCATGAAAAATTGGCAGAATCAACTGGCACGTGCCAGGGTCTCCGTCAAGGATGGATATCTGTTTGGCTTGTTTTAAAATGCCACCCCTTTGCCAGTCAGTCAAGAGAAAGCTGCTACAATCCTGTGGTCTTTCTTGGAACTGAGATAGTGCTCTGAGCCTCACTTTCTGTTCTGCCTAAGGACAACTTGGGCCGAGATAGCTGCCCTGCCTCCGTACTCCCATGTGCCCTAGGATAGGCTTGTTAATCTTTTCTCCACTGGGACGGTTTCCCTGAGCAGTGCATATCTCTCCTGCTTCTGCATCCCCAGTGCCTGGTGCAGTGCCTGGAATATAGCGGGGAGGCGGAAATGCTTGCTGTCTGAATGCATGAATGGGTGGTACCTTCAGCCTCTTTATGGATCCTCCAGCTTCAATGCGCTTCCTTATCACTATGAGTACCCACGAGTTGTCAAACTGGCTCAGACCCTTCATCAGTCCAGTTCTGATGCTGACAGTGACTGTGTGTTCTTTAGGAGAATTAGGAATGGCTGTGATCCCTTATGGAGTCTTTAGATTCGAGAGAGAGAGAGAAGCATCCAGAGATCATATGCCCCAACTCCTCTGTCTTGCAGGAAAAAAAAAATAAAAAGCACACAAAATGATTTGTTGTACCGCCTGGAACACATCACATTCGTTGTAAATTATAAGAGGAAACGCTTGTCTGGACCACTGCAGTCTTCACGAGTAGAGGCACACCTCCTGTTCACCCCTCCCGAAATGCTTCTTGACCCGGGCAGGGCAGGTTCAAGTCTTTCCTGGGCATGTTGCTTTGTGAAGGCCCCTTGGCTACCAGAAGCACTTTCTTCTCTTTCTCGTAACACTGGGTATCATGCACACTTCCTCCTGCCATCCTGTGCTCTAAATTCCCGAAAAACTTAACATCTGTGAGCTCACAAGAATTAATTTTATAGTCGTCTATCCACCAAGCTTGAGTTCCCAAAGTAGTGCCCTTTCCACAAATAAATTTGAAATCGTTTTAAAGGCATGGAATGTTTTGGCCTGGATCACCTCCTGGTTTGCTACTCACTCTGTAAAATAAGCCTTCTTGTGATTTGCCCTACATTTGTTTTTTTTTTTTTTTTGGTTGTTTTTTTTTTTTCTTTCAGGCTTTACAGGCTGCCCTGTTTTGATTAAACAAAGCTAACCTCACTCTGTTCATGCCCTGAAGGTGCACTATATTTAAATATTTTTAAATTTTAAGGGATAGGAAAAAAAATTAGAAACTTTTCTGTCTGATATGCATTTCTACAAGAGAAGTTTCTGTAATAAAAACTACCAAGCCATCAACGTTGCTAAGCTAGATCTTTATGACACGGTGCTTTCAAACTCAGCTCACAAGCCAGTGTCCCGTTTATCCCACCTCATCTCAGACTCTTATTTAAACATTTAGATTATTTGTGGTCTTATTAAAAACTATATTCACCTTTGAGATGAGAGGTTGTATCCCTACCTTAAACACTTGTGTGCACACAAACACACACACATATGCCTTTAGGAGCATAGTAAATAGTAGGCCCTCAATCACTATGCTTTAAAAAGAAATCATTTTTCACAATGAGAGACAATTTCTGTGATATGCTACAGTAATTGGACATAATAATCTATGTGTTAGATGATGGGGTCTAGCCAAAAAAGTTCCACTGGTTTAGAAAAATGATCCCAAGCCAACCAATAGAATTTATTAGGAAAAAAAATCTAAATTCCTCACCTATGTTAAAATATTCAACTGCAGAAGTGTAAGGTAATGGAAATGTGGCAGCAAGTTCAGTGGTGTGATGTGGATATTAATAACACGCATATTCAGAACTTGGTTGCCCAGCCTAACACTACTCTAAAAGTTTTACTTATGTTAACATTTAACTCACAATAACCCTATAGGGACACTATACTGTTATTCTTCATATTTTACAGAAGAGGAGACTGAGGCACAAAAGTGTTCATTAGCTTCTCTGAGGTGGCACCTAATGGGCAGTGAACCTTTTCCTCTTTCCAAATCTTTTAGCAGTTGAACCGAACTTTAAGGAAAACAAATGTTCAGAAGTCTCACTGCTGAGTAAACTGGCCCCACTAATGGCAGCAGGCCAAGAGTTAGGCCAACAAGAAATCCTATAATGGATTCTGAGGGAGGCCTGGAGCCTATGGCTTCTCAAAATAGCCTCTTCTAGTGGCAGTTATATTTCTCTTTCCTGCAATGAACTTCCTTTCCCAAACGAATTCCAGCCCTCAGTAAAGTCTAAAGTAAAAGCGTGACCTCTGCTATTCCATGGGGATTAAGAAAAGAGGATGGGGGCAGGATTGGCAAAGACAACAGTCCCCTTTCCCAAATGGTGTTATCAGTAGCAAATGCCCATGGGATTGCCTAGCAGACTTGGTCAACCATGGAAATAGCACTGTGATAACTTGCCTTTGTGGTAGAAACAGAGTGAAAAAGGGAGAGGTTGAATCAGAGGGGTTGCTATGGGAAGGGGTCAACAAGGGCCTTAAGCTAGAGTGAGGAAGTGAGATTTTATTTGAGAGAAATGGGAAGCTACTGGAAGGAAGGCAATCTCAAAGCTCTTGCCAATTTTTAGATTTATATAGCTTCTTCTTGCAATTGTTCTATAATGGAAACAAATCCATACAATTCAAAATCCTGCTAGCTAGCCCCAACTGGCCTCTTCTAAAACAAGTGGATTTGGACGCTTCTTTATAAAGCAGCTGGTAGTTTTGCTTTGAGAGAAACTAATCAGGCTCTCTTGACTTCATCTTATTGATCTAACCACCAAAGTAGGGGCAAACCAAAGTCACCTTGAAAATGGAAAATTTTAGGTGGTATGATATGAAATTCGCCTGAATTTGATCCTTACCACACTCCCTAACCTAAGGTCAAATAGAGCAGCACAGTGGTCATGTGGAGGTTTTATGGTCTTTCCTCACAATCCTAGTGAATTTAACAAATACTGAAGCTATAGCATGAAACCTGAACTGCTCTTTCTAGTTCCAAGGGTCTCTTTATCTTAGTCCCAATTGTCTCTCATTAAACTTTAATTGCCGTTTCTATTATAGATGCATCCGCAGCCCTAGTTATATTAGATTCATCACCATCCCATGCAGAACTCATCCTTCTCAGCTTGCACTCAATCTCTATCTTAATTCTTTGATGTTGTTGTTTGGTAGCTAAGTTACGTCCTACTCTTTTGTGACCCCATAGACTATATTCCACCAGCTCCTCTGTCCATGGGATTTCCCAGGCAAGAATACTGCAGTGGGTTGCCATTTCCTTCTCCAGGGGTATCTTCCTGGCCCAGGGATCAAACCTGCATCTCCTGCATTGGCAGGCAGATTCTTTACAGCTGAGCCACCAGGGAAGCCCCGTCTTAATTCTGCTTTCTTTCCTTTTTTTCCTTTTTGTTTATTATTTAAAGGGCATAAATACTGCATGAACGTATTCTCAGTGCAAACCATTTAAGACATATTAGTACACAGAGTACAATGTGAAAATTCCTATCCGTCATAACCTGTAACTCCACTCCTTATTCCAAAAGTAACTGGCATTAATAATTGTAAAAGAATCCTCCCATTCTTGCACTCATCTAGCCACATACAAATGTACATCTATTCATAGATTTATACGTATATATTCTAATTTAAAAAGAACCACACAATACACATTGTTTTGCAACTTGATTTTTCTGTTGTCTTGGAGAACTTAGTGCAAAGAGATCTAGTGCATTTTTCTAGCTACTGCAGAGAATTTTATCGAATGGATGCACTGTCATATTTTAACCATGCCCCTGCAGTTAGGATGGGCTTTTCAAAATGTTCTGTGATTTAAATAATTTGCAATAAATGCACATTTTTAGGCAAATTTTCCACGGTCTCTTTGGGATAGATTGTTAGAAGTGGATTGATTGAATCACAGTGAATTGGTGTTTTATTTGATAGGTACAAGCAAATTGCTCTTAAACAATCTTGTTTTATACTCTGCCAACTCTTTTTGCAAATATCTAATTCTAGGCAACATTTCCAACAATAGGCACTATCAATCTTTAAATCTTTTACTAATTGGTTGGATGAAAAATATTCACCTTGTTTTTATTTGTATTTCCCTGGTTATTAGTGAGATTGGGCATTTTTTCAAATGCTTATTGGCAATTTATAGTCTTTTGAGTATATAAGTATAACTGAGTGTGACTGCCTGTTGTCGTCTTTCTCTATTTTCCTATTGGTTTTTCTGGATTTTTATTATTTTTTCCTAGGAGTTTTTATGTCTTGTGGATAGCAATACCTTTTCTTTTATAGACACTGTTTAGTTAGTAATTTTAGGTCTTTATTTATTAAAGATAATATAAATTTAAGCTAACTCCTTCAGACCACATACTCTTTTCTTCAAAAAAATCTGTTCTGATTTCTCCAACTCACTAATATTTCCCCTTCTCTAACTCCCCATTTCTAGATTGTAAGTTCTTTGAAGGCAGGAACTAGTTTTACTCAATTCAGTAACC